CTCCCAGGATGGCCCAAGACAGCCCCAGACGGCCTCAACAGCCCAGAGGGTAGCCTCAAATGATCAAGGGGGCCCCTCTCTTCTTCGACGTCTTTTTCGTCGGGCTCCTTACCGTCCTTCTGCGTCGTCGTCGTCCTTTTTCTTCTTCTTCTTCTTCTCTCCTCCTTCTCCTGCGCTTCGTTCCCTCCTGTGCTCGTCCTCCTCCTTCTCTTCCTCGCCCTCGCGCTTGCCTTCCTGCTCGTCGTCCTTCTGCCCCCCTCGCTGCCCTTTCCGTCATCCGCGCCGCCATCCTCGACATCCGCCGCCGCGTCGTCGCCATCCTCTTTTTCACCTTGTCCCCCCCCGCGAGCCCAATGGACAACGCCGGCGCTCCCCGTTCTCGTCCGATCCATTTTTTTTCAGGGGGCGGGGGGGGGCGGCCCCCTCGAGGCGCGGGCCGCGAGCGTTCGTCTTATCGTCGTCCTCCTCGCCCTCTTGTGCTCTTCTGCGTGCCGGGAGCCGAGCGGACTTGAGCGGCGCTTCCCGCTCTTGTCCTGTCGGGAGCTTCCAAGAAGGGGATTCGTCGCTTCGATGCGTGAGGTCCGGCTTGGAGCAAATAGTCGTGGGCGAAAGACGTAGCAGTATCCGCGTCCTCGCGGGTTGGTCCCCTGGGCCGCGAGCCCGCGGATACGGGGTGTCGTCTCGCGGGTCCCCCGCGCGGAGCGGATCCGTGCGACCGCGTATCCGTGGGATCGCGCCCCAGAGTCCAGACTACGAGGGCGCGTATTCGGACGTGTTCGCCGCTCATGGAAAGTGGTGCAGGACGTGCTTGCCCGAGTGGAAAGGTCGGGCGGTGCCAGGGGGGCTCACCACCAGAGGGGGTCGCCAGCTCCTGTTGAGGATCGATGCTTGATGCTCCAGGAGGGCAGCTCGAGTGGGTCGTTTCGAGGGGCTCTGGTGTGCTTTTGGACCCGTTCCCTGAGGAGGTGGTGTCTCCCCGAGGAAGTGGCGACCCACCCAGCGGTGGCCACCTTCGGCACTGCCTGGGAGACAGGACGGCCCCCGCCCCCCCCCCTCCCAATGACGGATTGCTCGGATGCCACTCGGGGAAGAAGCACGATGACCATAACCAACACGTCGCGGGTCTTAGTCGACGGCTTCGGTCATGGTCCATGCCGGCCGTCACCGATCCGCGGAGACGATCCACGAAACGACGGCGACCAAGATGCACGGTGACCAAGATCGGCGCCGACGTTTCCGCGTTTAGTCTTGGCCATGCTCACAGTTTGTTCCCCTCCAGCATCCGTGGAGTCGAAATGGTGTATGTAAGTCAACCTGCAGGCCTGATTGCCGGTGCATGCCTGTCGGACGCGTTCGGCCGGTCTCTCGCCGCGCCCTGTGGGGCGATCTCATCCCCCCTCCGCGCTGCGCTGATGCATGGACAAAACTGCATGCCGCTCGGAAGTCGACGGGTCGCAGTCTCTTTTGCTGGGGGTTTCGCCTCTGGAGTGACCACGGGCTTTGCACAGGTCCGCCGCGCGCGTGTCACGGTGTATGCTCACGCCACTGGGGCCCTGCTGCGCTGCCTCCCCTCGCATACACTATACATGTCGCCGCGCTGTTCCGCCTCTGCTGGGCTTGGCCCATGAGAAATGATAGCCTCCCAGCTGGCACGCTATTGTCGGGATCAGCTTGCGCTGCGTTGAGGTGGGAGTACCGCTGCGCACTCGTAGTGCAGTTTGCATTGGTTCCCCATGTCCTCAGCTTGTTCTCTGGGTCGTCAACGCCGCCCATGATGTGAACAGCCACGCCACCTCCCTCCTGGTGTCCGGCGCCTTCGGTGTTGAGCAGGGGTTCCTTGCAAAAGAGCAGGAGCAGTAGCAGAAAGACGAGGAGGAGGAGAACGCGCGCAGAATTCGCACCATATTCAAGCAGGAGGAAGGAGGTGGGGAAGAGAGAAAGGGAAAGAGTGCGGAGGAGGAGCAGGAGGAGGAGGAGGAGGAGGAGGAGGAGGAGGAGGAGGAGAGCATGAGTAGCAGAATCAGGAGGAGGAGGAGGAGGAGGAGGAGGAGGAGGGAGGAGGAGGAGGAGGAGGAGGAGGAGGAGGAGGGAGGAGGAGGAGGAGCAGAGGAGGAGGAAGGTGAGAATAATCAGCGGACTGGCGTACGATCGCCATGCCGGATGTCTTCTCGCTCGCAAGCGGTGCCTGGCGTTAAGCTTACAGTGTGGAGGTGGAAGTGGGAGGATAAGGACGCCTCCGAAGACCTCCCTAGACAGACCGCCAGGTAGCATCCGACGATTTCCAAAGACTCCTGGCAGCCTTGCAAACCCGAACACATCCCCAGGGACCTCTATCCTCTGGGTCACCCGCAGGGGCGCGAAGAGAATCGCCCTTCACGGTTTGGGGTGAAGAGCCAGTCTTCTAACCGTTTCCAGGGGCGGGCGCGAATTTGACCACACTCCTCGCACCGCGAGCCGCGATGTCAGGCGACCTGGCTCCTGCGGGTCACCAGATCGCAAGACGCCCCCCCCCCCCACCCTGGTGCATGAAATGCTACGCGGTGCGCTGCTATCGCTCAGCGTAGCGTTTCGTCCACGAGACGGCACCTCGGGCAGAAGCTGCGCTGCGTGCCCGCAGGCACTCCGTGCGACTCGATCTCTGCGAATCGTTGGCCCCCGGACCTCTCGATCCCTTCCCGCGGGCTGGCTCTCTACCCCGACCTATGTCTTGATGGCCCCTTGAGCCCGGGCACGGCCCACGGACGGTGGCGATGGTGAGCACACTTCCCGTGACGTCCCAGGACCTCTCGATTCCTTCCCAGGGTTGTCTCTTCGGCTCACGAACGCCGACGACGGAGGACAGGAAGCTTCCGTGGCATGACATGTTTGTTGGTGCAATCGCCAGAACATCCAGCGGCGGGCCGACGAGCGCCCCCCTATGAGGAGGGATTCGGTGGAGGAAGATCGAGCATCGACGACGATCGAGGATCAAGGAGGAGTCGGCGAGAGGAGGAGGAGGAGGAGGAGGAGCAGGAGGAGTAGCAGGAGGGGACGAGAGGAGGAGGAGGAGGAGGAGGAGGATGAGGAGGAGGAGGACCAGTGTAAATCCAAGCCGCCGGCCGGCCCCCTGTCTCGGATAATGGCAGATGCCAACGCTATATCATGAGGTCTGAGCGCCGCCGTGAAGCAGTGTCGGGACCTGTTTGTTTTTCGAATCTGACCCTACGGATCTGCGTCACGGGTGCCACCGAATTTCAGAAATGTGGCAAATCTTTTTTGTGTTTTTGGGACCCTGCCCCCACGGATCTGCGTGAGGGGCGCCGCAGAATTTCAGAAACGTGGCAAATCCCATGGGTTGTTGGACCCCGACCCCGCCGATCTGCATGAGGGATGCCGCCGAGTTTTAGATGTATGGCAAATCCCTTGTGTTTTTGGACCCTGACCCTGCCGATCTGCGTGAGGGGTGCCAGCGGATTTTAGAAATTTTGCAAATTCCTTGTGATTTTGGACCCTGACCCCGCCGATCTGCGTGAGGGGTGCCAGCGGATTTCAGATTTGTAGCAAAAATCTTTTTGTGTTTTTGGACTCTGCCCCTGCGGGTCTGCGTGAGGGTAGCCAGCGGATTTCAGATTTGTAGCAAATTCTTTATGTTTTTGGACCCTGACCCCGCCGATCTGCGTGAGGGGTGCCAGCGGATTTCAGAAATGTGGCAAATCCCATGTGTTTTGGACCCCGACCCCGCCGATCTGCGTGAGGGTTGCCAGCGGATTTCAGATTTGTGGCAAATTGTTTGTGTTTTTGGACCCTGACCCCGCCGATCTGCGTGAGGGGTGTCAAATTTTACCCAACCCAGCAATTCAGAGCATACGCTCAGGGCGTGGTAAAAATAGCCGTTTTGGGCCTCCCCCCCTCGCGCGGTCCATCAACAAGGAACAGTAAGCAGCAAGAAGTCAACAAGGAACAGTAAGCAGCAAGAAGCAAAACTGTAACAGTGGAAACTGGAAGCTGCAACTGGTACAGGAAACTGCGAGCCTTCGTCCTACAGCCTGGTGGCCCCACAAGGGGGCCGGCGGATTCTTGGGACTTCAACGCCGCGAGTCAACGATATTCTTACGCCCTGACAGTCCTAAATCGTGCCAACACACAATTCTTGGGACGTCAACCCATACGAATATTTGACACTTGTCGCACACATGTGAGACGAATGCGCTCGGCGCTAGGGCGAGAGCCACACTTTGAACAGGAATCGCCCTATGTCTTTGGAGCTGAACGAATGTGCGCCGCGCGCTGGCGAGAGCCACATTTCGAGAACCACTTGTCCTCCATCCTGGAAGCTACTGCAAACTGTACAAAGAGTGTGCGCGGTGGCGCGGCGAGAGCCACATTTTGAACCAGACCCACCCTCAATCATTCAAACTGGTGGACGCTTTTAAGACAAATGTGCGCGGCGGTTAGGCGGCAGCCAGCTTTTGGAACCACCCGCCCTCCATCCTTAAAGCTGTTGCACATTCTAAGCTCCAGGATCGTACATGGTGAGGAAGTCTCCGGCGGAACGCCCGGCCCGCCCTAGGTGTGCGGTAGGGAGGAGTTATCCAGAAGGCAGGAATAAAAGTCACCGAGCGCGTTCCACTACTCGCAAAGTGCCTACTCGCAAACGCCCACAAACCACATGTCTGCTTCGATGTAATATATCGTAGATCCCCCGCGGCGGATCCAGGCCATTTGCAAGTAGTGACTGTGCGAGTGGTGGAACGCGCTCGTCCATGTTGAGAAGGCAGGAATCGAAAGGAGGAAGAGAAGGGGGAGGATCGAGGGGATCGAGAATCGATCGAGACTCGCGAGGAGGTCCCGCTCGAGGATATGGAGAAGGAAGGAGAATCGCGAGGGACAGGAGTATCTATATATATATATATATAGTATATAGAAAGGGGAGAATCGCGAGGAGAACATTGAGAAGGAAGGAATCAAAAGGAGCAAGAGGATCGAGAATCGCGAGGAGGTCCCGCTCGCCCTCCGGCGAGGGGACCACGCCGGTGCCGCTGGAGCGCCTGCGGCCTGCCTTCCCCGCCGGCCACCCGCGCACCAGCGCGGGCGACCGCCGCGCCCGCCCGTCGGCCTCGGCCGCGCTCGCTCGCTCGCCGCCGTCGCCACTGCCGCCGTCGTCGCTCGTCTCACCGACTCCCTTCAGGAGGGGAAAATCGGGAGCTTTGAGTAAGGGAACGAAAAGTGACATACACAAAAACTCGGAGGTCCGCGCGGACTTCCGAGATTTTATGTTTATGTGACTTTTTGTTACCCTTTTGAGACGGGGGTCAATGCAGACGGGAGTCAGCCAGAACGCCCGATCTTGCAGGATCTTGCGGGACCAGGGTCGGACTGACCCTGGTTTGGGCGCAGGATCCTGCAGGATCCTTCGCGTTGACCTGGGTTTGGGTGCAGGACCTTGCAGGATTCTGCAAGGCCTCTGGATTGATCCGGGTGGATCTTCTGACCCGGGTTGGAGGATCTTGCAGGATTCTTGCGTGGATCTTCTGACCCGGGTCTGGATTGATCCGGGTCAGAAGATCCGCGAGAAAAAAACTCAGGCACACAATGAATCGTCGATTCCCAAGAACATATGGGAAATCATGGGAAACCATGGGAAATGGGTGGGACGGGCGATCCCTGCCAGGCGGTCTCGGGCTCCACGTCTGCCCTGTGGGATTCTTCTGTGGTTCTTCTTGAACCGCACGAGAGGTAGCCCCTAGTGAAACGCTACTTGGGAAACCCACGACGCGAGGTGTTTGTAGTCAGAGCGAGGGGGCCGAGTGCGTTGCTGCAGTGGGCTTCCGCGGTGCGGATGGATCTCTCTCACTTGAAGAAAATGATTGCTGATACCCCCTTCACAGGTGCACACTGACAGTGTGCACACTGACAGTGTGCCCAGGGGGGCACTTCAATTGAAAAACACAGTGACTGTGTTTTTCAATTGAAGTGCCCCCCTCTCGGGGCTCGCACCTTGCTTTCTTTGTAAGATAACTACAGCAAGATCGGCTCCCGAACTGATGCTGTGCTGGGCCCCGAACTACAAGAAAGATCGGCTCCCGCCTGATACTTCCTCACAATGTGTTCCAAAACCGCGCTGTCGCGCGAGATTTCCGCGCAACTCATACGAAAAGCGCGCTTTCGCGTGGGGCATCCTCGCAAATTGTTCAGACGCCGCGCCCTCGACACTCAGGAATCACGCTCTCGCTTTGGCTTCTCTCACGGTCGCGCTATCGCTCGAGCCTTCTTCGCGATTCATGCAGGACTCACGCTTCAGCAACCCGCCTGCTCGACCAGGCTGCCTGGGCCCGCCTTTCCGACCCGCCCGCCAGGGTCTGCCCGCCCGATCTGCCCGTCTGGTTCTACCCCGTGTTTTCTGTTCCCAGGCCCTTTCCTGCTAATTTCTCTCGTGGTCCATCCTTCTCCCTCCACCTTCCATCCGTCCTGTCTACTCCTGTATTCGGGACTGCACTACATGCACGTGGGAGTTAAGGAAGAGTTACCCTGAAGAGGGGGTACGATCGAAGACCAACAGGGCGGGTACCGAGGGCTTGGGATATACGTGTTGAATGGCACGCGGGTTGATAGGAACGACCAGTCTTAACAGGATTGTTGTTGTTGTTGTTGTTGTTGTTGTTGTTGTTGTTGTTTCTGTAATTGATGTCGTGGTTGTTGTGGTTGATGCTGATGTGTTTGTTGTCGTTGTTGTGTTTGCTGGTGTTGCTGCTGCTGCTGCTGTTGTTATCGTCAAATATTGTAGTTGTTGGTATTATGGTTATTCTTGATATTGTTGCTGTTGTTGCTGTCGTTGCTGCTGTTATGTTGTTGTTGTTGTATTTGTTGCTGCTGCTCTTGTTGGTATTGTTGCTGCTGTGGTTGTCGTTGGTGTTGGTAGTGTTGCTGTTGTTGCTGCTGTTGCTAAAGGTGTTGTTACTGCAGCTGTTTTTGCTGTTGCTGTGGTTGGTGTTGCCGTTGCTGCTGTCGTTGTTGCTGCTGCTGTTGCTGTTGCTGCTGCTGGTGCTGCTGCTGCTTGTGTTGTTGTTGTCGTTGTCGTTGTCGTTTTCGTCGTCGTCGTGGTTGTTGTTATTGGTGTTGTTTGTTGTTGCTGCTGTTGTTGTTGTTGTTGTTGTTGTGGTTGTTGTTGTTGGTTGTTGGTTGTTGTTTGTTGTTGTGGTTGCTGTTGTTGTTGTGGTTGTGGTTGTTGTTGTTGTTGTTGTTGTTGTTGTTGTTGTCGTTGACCCGCCCGCGAGCCACACGCAACCCACCCATGACCCACCCCGTGACCCAACCCCCGACCCACCCGCGACCCACCCGCGATCCACCGCGCGACCCACCCGAGACCCGCCCGCGAGCCACACGCAACCCACCGCGCGACCCGCCCGCGACGCGCCCGCGACCCACCCGCGACCCACCCGCGATCCACCGCGCGACCCACCCGCGATCCACCCGCGACCCACCCGCGACCCACCCCGCCCCGCGACCCGCCCGCGACCCGCCCGCGACCCGCCCGCGACCCATTGCGCGACTCGTACGCGACCCACCCGCGACCCGCTCGCGACCCACCCGCGACCCATCCGCAACCCATCCGCAACCCACCCGCGACCCACCCTCGACCCGCGCGCGACCCACCCGCAACCCACCCGCGACCCACCCCACGACCCACCCGCGACTAGCCTGAGACCCACCCGCGACCGAACCCCGCGCCCGACCCCTCACTCTTATCCGCAACTGCTGGGTGAGACACACACACACATATATATATATATATATATATAGGCCTGTGGGGGCCTCGCCAGGCACCTGGACTGTCGAACCAAGATTCAGGATGTCAACCGGTCCCGGGGATGTCGAGACCTCCAGGGGTCGACGCTGTCCGTAGACTCGCTAACGGCGATGCAGGTAACGGCGATGCAGGTAACGGCGACGCAGGTTTCAGTATTGCCGGTGGGGCAGGTTCGAGGCCAACCCCATTCTAGGAAAGGAAAGGTTTGTTCGCATTTTCTAAGCATTTGTTCTGCGCGAGTTCGGCGTTGCAAGAACCATATTCCTGACATCGTCGTTAACCAACGTCGCTGTTGTTGTGGCCATGGGTTGTGACAAACAAAAACTCGACGTTGGGGATCTGGGCCCCTCGTCCCCCCCTTGCTTCCCGGCCCTGGCCCAGAGAGTTCTCGCCCTCGTCCTCGCCCTCGCTCTCGCCCTGGCCCTCGTCCTCGCCCTCGTCCTCGCCCTCGTCCTCGCCCTCGTCCTCGCCCTCGCCCGTCCTCGTCCTCGTTCCCCCTCGCTCCCTAGCGCCCTGGCCCAGTCCGTCTCGCCCCCGGACTCGCCCTCGTCCTCGTTCTGGCTCCCCCTGCTCCCGCTCTCCCTGCTGCTGCTCCCTGAGCTCCAGTCCATGCTGCCCACACGCATGTTCGTGCCTGCGTCCGTTCTGGTGGTCTCCGTCCTGCTCCGTCCCCTCCTGGCCCCTTGCCTGCAGTCCATCATCCGCTGTCCTGCACCCTCACCCCCAGTCCTCGCCTTCCTCATCCGACCCCCTCGTCGTTCCTCGCCCCGCGTCCCCTCTTCCATTCTCCTCGCTCTCCCCCTGGACCCTCGTACCTGTTCCTTCTCCCCCTTCCTCCTCATCCTTCCTCCCCCTCGTCGTTCTCCCCGTCACTCCCTCGTACTTCCGAGAGGCGCGCCCGCCTGCCAGCGCGCCGGGGCCCTCGCTCGTCCGCGGGAACTTTTCGGACACCGACCGGTGGGCACTCCTTGTTGCAGCGGTCCCTGCGGGCGCGTCGGGCCTGGACGGCAGGCGCTCGCCAGACTTACCAAGTTCCCCGTCTACGTATGCCACAAGACTGTTTTTTTACCCAGGCTCTGCCTAGAAGGGTTCTTACTCGGTGTGCTTAAAGGGCCAGGCAGTGTAACGCTCCCTGGGCGGTTCCCCCAGTAACCGCCCCGCGGTTCCCCCAGTTACGTCCCCTTAGCTTAGCGTTGCTTTTCTCATCTTAGCTTAGCCTATTTAATATCAGCTTTGCTTAGCTTAATATTAGCTCAGGTTTATCTTAGCTTACCTTCATCTTAGCTTCGCTGAGCTTTAGCATAGCAGAGCACAGCATAGCATAGCATAACGTAGCACAGCATAGCATAGCGCAGCATCGCATATCATAGCATGGGTGTAATTCCTTACCTAGGCTCTGCTTAGAGGGTTAGCTTATGTAGCTGTCGGTGTAGATGTAGATGTTGCTTTCCTAGATGCTCCAACTCCTAGGTAGGGTCGCACTGGGATAATTTAGGGTCGGGCGATAACCCGGGTTATCGGGCTTGCCCCCCCTCCCCCTGCCCCCCCCAGGATAATCTAATCTTGCCGGTTGTGCAGGTCCGCGGGAGGGGGGCGCGGGCATATGCAGGGTTGCCCACAGCGCGAGGGTTAGGTTACCGGCCGGCCCCCTCCTCCCCCCCAGGATAACCCTGGTTATCGCCGATTCAAAAAAAGAAAGTCTCCAGCTGCACGTGCCCACTCTAGCTGGTAAACATTTTTGTGCGCTCGGGGGAGATCGTGGTCGTCGTAGTTTTGTCCCGCCGTTGCCCGCCGCGCCCCTCCTTCCCCATCCAGCGCCCCCCTCCAGTCCACGCGCCAGTCCTCTCGCTGTGTATGTCATACCTTTTTCGCCGCCCACGTGTAGCACAGCTGTGATCCTTCATGGCCGCGCGGCGATCCTGAAGGGTCGCAGCTGCAGCGCCCCGCTCCTTCATGGCCGCGCGGCGGTCCTGGCGCTGTGCTTGGGGCGTGGGGGCCTCTTCCTCCGCAAGGGGGGGGGGCTTGCTTCGACGGACACAGGCCGCTGCCTCTTCGCGCGGAAAACGGGGTCCCGCTTTGGCGCCGCCCACGCTCGTTTCATAACATGCAAGAGTCGCGGGCGGAGGGCGAATCGGCTTCACATTTGGGTTCTCTTCTTGGCGCCGCGCGTACTCGCCGTAAACTTTTTCCAGGTCCAGGGTTCAAGGCGCCGGACGTGTTGTGTGCATTTCCATTGCAGGCCTGGGCTGGCGCCACTCTCCTCAGGAATGTCTGGCATTTTTTGATGTTCTGAATCTTTGGATTTGGGGGGTTTCTTTGCGATGCTGGATGTTTGGATTTCTGGATTTTTGGATTTCTGCATGTTCTTCGAAAAGGAGCAAGGCCCCCTCTGTGAATTCCGAAGGTTCCCTCCAGTTTCCTCGGATCCTTCTGGTCCCTTCAGGTTCCCTCCGTATACGTCAGATTCCCTCTGGATCCTTCAGGATCTTAGTTGCCTCGATACGCCCGCTTTGAAACGCAAAACGTCCCGTGTTCAAGACGTCCGCGTCAATACGTTGCGTGTTGGCTCCACGTTTTGGGCCACGTTTTGGCGAATGTATCGCGTCGGACCTACGTTTTCAGCCTACGTGTTGAGCTCCGTATTGATACGCTACGTGCTGCGTGTTGCGTATCGGGGCAACTTAGTTGAGGATCTTTCAGATCCTTCAGATCCTTCCAGGTTCCCTCACGAACCTTGCGGTTCCATATGATTATGTCAGAGCTTCTGTTTAGGAAAAAAATACCCTTCATCTTCCATCCGGAACCTTCAGAATCCTTCACTGTCCCTCAAATTCCCTTCACATTCTGCCAAGATTCTTCAGATGTCATCAGGTTCCTTCGGGATCTCCTCGATGTCATAAGATTATTTCGGATTTTGTCTGGATCCCTCAAATTCCCTCAGGGTCCTTCAGGATCCTTCAGATTCCAGCAGATTCCGTCATGTTCTTTCAGATTCCTTTTGGGTCCTCCAGATTATTTCAACGCCCTTCATATTCTTTCAGGATCCTTCAAATCCACTCAGGTTCCGTCAGGATCCACATGACTGCATCGGATGCTTTCGTATTCCTTCAAGACCATTCAGGTTCCCTCAATCCATCCTATTCCAGTGGATTCTTTCAGAATTTCCCACGATCTATCAGATTCCTAAAGATTTCGTCATGAATTCTCTCGATGTCTTCAGGGTCCTTCATATCCCCTCAGGATGCTTCAGATCCCCTTGGATTTCCCAGGACCACATGCCCCCAGAAACATCAGATCTGGTCAGCTTCCCGAGTATCCATCGGGATCCGTCAGTTTCTTTCAGAATCCCTCCGGATCCTTTTGTACATTCCGCCAGATTCCTTCAGATCCCTATGATTTTGCCAGGGTCCTTCAATGTTCCTCACGATCCTTCTGATTCCTTCAGAGTCCTCTGGGTCCCCAGACTCCCTGAGGATCTTTCATGGTCCTTCAGGTTCCCTCAGGATCCAGTGCCAATCCTATGAAGGGTGCTTGGGACTGGTACCAGTAGGGCTGCGGTTGTCGCCCAACGGTTGGGGTCGACACAAATCGGTCGGGATTGTTCAAACCTTCTGGGCGGGAGGGGTATATATATATATAGTCATGGCACCCCAGGGTTCTTCAAGAGGCTTCCAGGATTTTCTCAAGGGGCCCAAGGGTCGTCAGGAGGAGGAGGAAGAGGAAGAGGAGGAGGAGGAGGATGAGGAGGAGAAGTCGGAGGAGGACCGGAGAGAACCCAGGATGCATCAACGATGCTGCTATACACCTTCCCGCCCACTGCCCCTGTCCCCTCCTCAGAAGTCCTTACAAGCATACCTTCTTTTCATACCTGCACGCGCGCCCTTGCAAGACTGGAGGGCCGCCTGGACACACCGGATTTCCCTGCAACGAAATTCGGCATAGAACAGGTTGATTCTCTTGTATCGTACGAAAATTCGCCTTTCCTTTTTGGGAGAAGTGTCATGCTTTTTCGTAGAGGAATCCCACCCTGTCTTAAGATATCCTTACCCATACTGGGGAAAACCTACATTTTGCACCGGAGAACCTCACATTTCCGTATGCAAATTTCCTACCGTTTGGTAGGCAAGCCGTACGGTTTATCATGCACGAATTATAGTCAACCCGCATGGTAAGGTCGGGCAATTCGCCCAAGGGTGCCCTTGCTTCCTTGCCTCCTCGGTCCCACCTTGGCCAATTTCGTTGGCCGCGCCCTCTCGAAAAGCCTCGAACTGGGCGTCCAAGGCCCTTGTATCCCTATCGCGCATCCTCACTATACGGGTTGATTGTATATGGCCTATGTTTGCTTACCCGTCGGGCTGGCGTTGGGAATTCGGGGTAGGACAAGCGCCGTGCCTCCTGCACACAAAAAAGCCAGGCCCGCGCGACCCAGGGAAACGCGCGGGCCATCGCCGCAAGGGGAGCCACGGAGCCTCGCAGGGGAGGGGATTTTCGGGCTTGCGCCGTTGGGTTTCGGGTCTGGCGTCTTGAATCAGGGCTGGACCTAAACGGTGCTTTTGGTGATTTCGTGTGCCGTTTTCGTTTCGACTTCGTTTTGCGGTAAAAGCGGATTCGAGACAAAAGCGAGGGAAGACGAAAACAAAACGACAACAAAACGAAAACGGGAAACACCGTTTAGGTTCAGCCCTGTCTTGAATCCTGGCCCGCCAGTGTTTTTCGCAGTCACGGACGGGAGGTGAGGCGCTGTCGAAATGGACCCTTCGCCCTGGCGCCGCGGGCACTCGTCCAAACCCAACAGGCGCACGGATGGACTGCGGCTCCTTCTCAGAATGGGGCTCTCGCGTTGGCGCCGCACGCGCTCGTCTCTCACAAAGCCCCCGACGACGCGGGTAATGAGAGGGTGGCTCTTTCTCAAAGCGCTGCTTCCGATTGAAATTGCTCCTCGTCTTTCACAACGGTACTGTAGTTGCCCAGCGGTCATACGGAGAATGGGGCTCGTTTAGGAGTTCTCTCGGTTGCAGAACACATTTTTCATTGCGCGTCAAGTTCACAGGTGCAGAGCATTTTGTTTCCGAACTGGGGGCTGTCGCTGGGCATGTACTTGAGCGTTCTGGCCCCACCTTTGAGTATTCTTATAGCTCGCAGGCTGGAGCGCCGTGCCGTTCAAAACAGAGCCTCCGCCTGACCGTTTGGCGTGTATCCTCCATCTCGGGCGCTTCACACAGTGAGAGCAAAACCTTGTAGCAGGAGGCATGGGACGGGCGGGTGTATTGCAGCATCGTTGAAACATGTTGGATTTACCCTGGACCTTCCGCCACCTTTTCATTCTCTGCCATTCTTGCCCATTCTCCTCCTCCTCCTCCTCACCTCCCCCGTCCTTGTCCACCTCACAGTCCTCGGCCCACCCTCTCGCTCCGCAGCCAGTTTTGTTGGCCCAATCTTGACAATCTCCCCAACCACCACTTCCTGACCCGCTACTTTACTACGTACTCCCGAGATGGCAGCGCGCGCCGCCGCGGGCACGTCGCAGCCAGCCCGCCCCGCGGTGCCGAACTTGCCGCTCCTGGGCAAGGAAGCGCCGCGTTCCTCGGCAGACGGCTCCACCACGACGTCTCGTGGCGGGTGGACCTCGCCGGAGTGCTCGTCGCCGCGGAGTGAGGCGAACTCGCCGACCAGCGGGTGGACGTCGCCCGAGTGGACGCCCCGGGCCACAGGCGCGTGCGGCCTCGAGCCACCGGCCGAGCCCGAGCTGCCCGCGGCGGTGCCCGGCGCGGGCGGCTTCTTCTGCTGGGCACCGCACGCGCCGCCCGGCTACTGGGCGCCCGTCGGCCTGCAGCACGGCGTGGTCTACCAGTGCGTCCCCGTGGGCGCCTTCTGGACCGCCCCCGTCGTCGTGGGGTGCCCCGCGGCGCAGGAGCCCGCGCCCGCCGCCCCCGGGTGCTGGGTGCAGGCCGAGCCCGCGGTCCCGGGCGCCTTCCCCGCCGGGCCCGCCGCGGCGGCGGCGGCGGCGGACCCCGCGCGGGGCGCCTTCCCGGGCAGCCCCCCCGCAGCGCGCTGGGAGGCGCAGGCTGGGAGCGAGCCGGAGGCCGCAGGGCTCACGGAGGAGGAGGAGCTGGGACCTGGGGCAGTGGCGCAGCTGCGCGAAGCCCTCCCCCCCAGCCGCCGCCTCCCTCGACCCTCGGGGATCGGCCAGGGGCGCCGCGCGGTGTTGCGCGCCTGGCAGCACCGCGAGAGGGCGCCGCCCACTTTTGGGCCTGCTGCGTGGGGGGCGTCACTCCGCGAGACCTCCCCCCCCAAGGCGCGCGGGGCAGAGTGGCGCAAGGGATCGCGCCCAGGCGCATTCGCTGTACCCCGTTCGCTTGCAGACCGCCCCCCCCCTCCCTCCCCCCAGGAGCAGCTCCTCGAGCGGCTCTCGCGGCTCCCGGCGGCCGAGCTGGGGGAGGCCGCGGCGTCGCTGCGCGGCCGCGTGTGGCGCTTGGCGGGGTCGCCGCAGGGCACGCAGCTGCTTCAGCAGGTGCTGCTCGCCGCCGGGGTCCAGGACCTCGGGGCAGCCCAGAGCCCGCGGGGGGGGGGGGGGGGGCTCGTCGCCCGCCGTCCGCCCCCGCCCCCCGCACGACCAGCTCGACGCACAGCCCGATAGACAGGAAGGATGTTCGGTAAGGCTTAACCGCTTATTTCAGCTGTAGTCTACCAGTACGGTTCGGCGAATTAGTTAAGCTGCAGTTATATTTGCTATACGGCATATCGTGCCACGTATCATCCGAAGCGTTCTACGCTAGGAAAGAATGCATGCCATCATGCTACTGAACATGTGGTTAGGGTATGTTCGTCAGCGTGGGACCCAAACAGCGAACTCTTGCACTCGGGGTGTGGAAGTCTATTTTTTGTGCACGCTATGTGGTGCAAGCTGTGTGCGCTGCAATCAGGCTTGTGCCATACAATATATGTGTGTAGCAAGCTGTGTGCAGGCAATGTGGTGCGAGCAATGTGCGGTGCAAGCTTTGTGGTGCAAGCTGTGTGGTGCAAGCTAGGTATTGTAAGGCTTGCGGCTTGAACTATGAGGTGCTGTCGAAGGGGTGGGAGACATGTCATGGAGCCGCAGTGGTGAAAGCAGCGCGAGGCGTGCACGAGGTTCCCACGGCCGCCTGCCAGGTAAAACCTCGGCAGCCCCAGCCAGCGCACGGTGCGCCCACGGTCGCACACCAGGCGCAGCCTCGGCAGACTGGGCCAGTCCACGGTGCGCCCACACGTTGGCTACACGTCAGAGTGACCTTTCGCCGGAGTGACTTTCGGTGCGGGCCCGACGGGGTCTCCCGATCGCCGAACGCGATGAGGTATAGCAGCGTTTCTTGCGCGCTCGCGTTCAGTCCCCCCGCGGCCCCCTAAAAGCTGCGCACCAGCTGCCCCTCCTGCCCCAGAGGCCCACTCTTTTGCGCGTCGTCGAACCAGGCGCCCACGGCCGCACGCCGGGCGAAGCCTCGGCAGACCCGGCCGGCGCACGGTGCGCCCGCGCGGCGCCTACGGTCGCCGACCCGGCCGGGGGCAGGCCCAGCCGGCGCACCGGGCGCCCACGGGGCGCCCACGGCCGCCCACCAGGCGAATTTTCGGATCCTCGGCATGCGCATCCAGCTCCTCCTCCTCTTCATTTTCCTCCTCCTCCTCCTCCTCCTGCTCCCCCTCCCCCTCCCCCTCTTCCTCCTTCTCCTCCTCCCCCCTCCTCCCCCTCCTCCTCCTCCTCCTCCTCCTCCCCCTCCTCCTCCTCCTGCTCCTCCCCCTCCTCCTCCTCCTCCTCCTCCTCCTCCTCCTCCTCCTCCTCCTCCTCCTCCTCCTCCTCCTCCTCCTGTTCCTCATCCTCCTGCTCCTCCTACTCAAGATCAGCAAATCCCATGGGTGCAAGCCATGTCTGGGGAATTGCTAGGTTAGTCTAAGTGGTACGGGTGGGTTTGTTATGGCACGTCTAGGGTTACGCTTCAGACTAGAAGTACAAGTGCATGCGTTTCACCTGGAGTTCGACTTGACGTTAAAGCTGTCGTCATAGCACGTATCTGTAAATGTGTGTTTGTGTGCTTTTGTTGTGATAACCAGCGTGTTGCCCAATCAACCATATGCACTGTATGTTTTATGCATCCATAGATTCATGGTGCATCCTATGAGATGCATCCTGCGTGATGCAATCTATGTGGTGCAATCAATCACCTGTTCAACTTGAAGCTGTCCTCTCCACTGCTCGTGCAAACATCCCACCCTTCCACCCGCAACTTGGTCGCAGGACCTCTTGAGACCGCGACGGTACCAAACGGCACTTGGCAACGACACCAGTGCCGGCGACGGGGCAGCGACAGCGAGGACGACGACGCCGCCGACAATGACCACGACGACACCGACGGCGTCTCCAACGACTTCGACGACGACGACAACGACGACGACAACGACGACGACACCGACGACGACGACGACGACGCCAACGCCGACGACGACGACGACGATGGCAACGCCGACGACGATGACGACGCCGACGACGACGGTGACGAAATAGGAGGGACGACGATGAGACGCCGACGGCGGCCGACGACGACGACGACGAGGGAGGAGGAAGGACGACCACGGCGACAACGACGACGGAAACGACCACGACGCCAAAGAGGACGATGACGATGAGGAAAGACAGAGGACGACGACGGCGACGACGACGACGAGGGAGGAGGGACGGCGACGACGACGACGACGCAAGAGCGCGTGCGCACGTTTTGTTGAAAAGATGTTTTGCGAACTCCTGTGTTTTCGTATGTTGTTTTGAAACTCGATTTTGAAATTCTCCCGACACCGAAGGTTTGTGAAGGATTTCGGCATGCGCGCGCGACGACGCGCGCGCGTGCACTTTGTCGCATTTCTGTTGTAGAGGATTCTCGCGACGGCACGCGCGCAAGGGCGTCCGATCGATTTCGACATGCGCGCGCGAGAAGCCTGTTTGGTAGCATTTCTTGAAAATCTTGAAATACTTTTTTGGTTTCCGCCAGGTTTCGCAAGAGCGTGCGCGTAAGTTTTTTTAGAAACGCAGTGTTGCGAAACCCTATGTTTTTGTATGTTGTTTGGAAGCTCGATTTGGGAATCCTTCCGACACCGAAGGTTTTTGACGGTTTTGAACATGCACGCGCGACGACGCGCGCGCGTGCACTTCGTCAGATTTTTTGCCACGGGTTGTTGAACACTTGTGGTTTTTGATGCACGAGTGTGCGCGCAAAGTGTTTTTTGCAGAGGATGGCGGGGGGGTGGGGGGGGGCGATACCGGTTTGGCTGGGATAATATGAGTTCTCAGGAAGGATGGACCTTGGGTCAGAATCCTATGTGTTTTGCATCGGTTCCCGGGGGGTCTTTCAACCGAGGGGGGGAGGGTGGAAGAACCTATTTTGTTTTTAGAAGGGAGGATCCGCTATATGTTGTGATTGTTTGGGCGCAATATATGTATTGATTTTTATTCATGGTTTGACACGCCACATGCTCTTGCAAACATCCCACCCACCCACCCGCAACTTGTTTTGCACAATTTCTTAAGACCGATTGCGACGACACCGACGACAACGGCTACGACTACACCGACGACGTTTCCGACAACGACGACAACGACGACGACGAAAGCGACGACAACGGCGACGACATCGACGACGACGATGACGACGACGACGCCGACGCCGACGACGACGATGACGACGCCGATGATGACGACAACGATTCCGACGACGACGACGACGTCGACGACGCCGACGACGATGACGAAGACGACGGCGGGGACGACGATGCCGACGTCGAAGACGACGACGACGCCGACGACGACGACGACGCCGCCAACGAAGACGACGACGACGAGGGAAGAGGGAGGACGACGACGGCGACAGCGACGACAACGACGAGGGAGGAGGGAGGACGGCGACGACGCGAACGACGAAGAAGGAGGAAGGACGGCGACGCCGACGACGACAACGACGAGGGAGGAGGGAAGGCGACGACGACGACGACGACGACGGCGACGAAATAGGAGGGACGACGACGAGACGCCGGCGACGGACGACGACGACGACGACGAGGAAGGAGGAGGACGGACGACCACGGCGACAACGACGACGGAAACGACCACGACGCCAAAGAGGACGACGACGACGACGAACACGAGGAAAGACAGAGGACGACGTAGGCGACGACGACGACGACGCGGGAGGAGGGAGCACGGCGACGACGACGACGACGACGACGACGACGACGACGACGCAAGAGCGCGCGCGCACGCTTTTGTTGAACATCCGTGTTGCGAAATCATGTGTTTTTGTAGGTTTTTTGGGCACACGGTTTTGAAATCTTTCCGAAACCGATGGGTTTTGAAGGATTTCGGCATACGCGCGCGACCACGCGCGCGTCAGCACTTCGTCTCATTTTTTGCAGAGGATTCTCGCGACGGCACAAGCGCAAGGGCGTTCGACAGATGTCGACATGCGCGCGCGAAGCCCGTTTGGTAGCATTTTGTGAAAATCTTGAACAACTTATGGCTTTCTCAAGATTTCGCAAGAGCTCGCGCGTATGCTTGTTTAGCACATCCGTGATGCGAAACCATGTGATTTTCCCAACCCTTCTTGGTTGGGTATTCGTTTTGAACAGAGCAGTGTGGTCTCGACTCCCTTCTTCCCGTCCCGGCTCCCTCTTGCCTCCTCCTGTGTTGCCTGCGGGGGGCTGCGATCTGTGAAATTGTCGCCACTTTCGAGGCCTGGTGGGGGGCCCAGCACAGTGACGCCACGGGCAGATTCAAATTAGACTTCGCCATCCCTGGGGGCTGCGATCTGTGAAACCGTCGCCACTTTCGAGGCCTGCTGGGGGCCCAGCACAGTGACGCCACGGGCAGATTCAAATTAGACTTCGCCATCCCTGGGGGGCTGCGATCTGTGAAATTGTCGCCACTTTCGAGGCCTGCTTGGGGGCCCAGCACAGTGACGCCACGGGCAGATTCAAATTAGACCTCGCCATCCCTGGGGGGCGGCGATCTGTGAAACTGTCGCCACTTTCGAGGCTTGCTGGGGGGCCCAGCACAGTGACGCCACGGGCAGATTCAAATTAGACCTCGCCATACCTGGGGGGGTTGCGATCTGTGAAACTGTCGCCACTTTCGAGGCCTGCTGGGGGGCCCCGCACAGTGACGACACGGGCAGATTCAAATTAGACTTCGCCATCCCTGGGGGGCTGCGATCTGTGAAACTGTCGCCACTTTCGAGGCCTGCTGGGGGGCCCAGCACAGTGACGCCACTGGCAGATTCAAATTAGACCTCGCCATCCCTGGGGGGCTGCGATCTGTTAAATTGTCGCCACTTTCGAGGCCTGCTGGGGGGTCCAGCACAGTGACGCCACGGGCAGATTCAAATTAGACCTCGCCATCCCTGGAGGGCTGCGATCTGTGAAACTGTCGCCACTTTCGAGGCCTGCTGGGTCCCAGCACAGTGACGCCACTGGCAGATTCAAATTAGACCTCGCCATCCCTGGGGGGCTGCGACCTGTGAA